AAGGACAGAAAACAAATGGTCAAACTGATAAGACTCTCCATCAGTTTACAAATACCTTAACAAATTATAAGAAAAGGATAATCTTATCAATAGCCTAATCTACAGGAACTCCCTACTGTCTTAAGGACAATGGTTTGTGAGAGGGAAAAACCACCTCAGCTTGCCAATCCCTGGGCCTCAGGTATCTCAGGAGTCCTCGTTAGCACATGACGTCCTTCTGGAGGTCTCCCTTGTGCCTTTCCCTCCCCCAACCCCACAGTATATCACCAGTCACTCCTCACAACCCCAGTGCAACGCTTTCTGCCCACGGGTCCCGTCCCCGTGCTTTAATACGATACGCTTGCACCAAAGATGTCTTCGAGAATTCTTTCTTGGCCGTCAGCTCCAAACCCCACCACAACGCAAAACCTCACCACCCTTGCCCAGCCACCTCCTTGGTGCCTTCTCCACACCAAAGGGAAAGGAATAGTGTTTGAACATCACAAGGGTGCTGGCGTGGGGGAGGGTCTCATCATCAGTCTTTGCTCTCTGTGTGGTCCACACACTAGGAGCCTGTCAAGAATGCAGATTCCTAGGCTTGCCCCAGAGCTCCTGAGATAAGATCCACGTTTCCACAAGACACACAGGTCATTTGTGGGCACGCTGATGTTTGAGAAGCACTGGGCTAGGTGACTCTCCCTACCCTTGGGACTAAGAAATGTTAGTGACTGTGGAACTAAGGGCAATTCTGGGGGGAAAAAAGGCAAATTGGACAAAAATACAATGGAGAGAAAACGAGGAGGAAAGAAGGATGGAGGGAGAGAGGGAAGAAGGAAAGGAGAGAAGGAGGGAAGGGAGAGAACAATTAAGGAAGACGGATGATGGGAAAGGGAGAAAGAAGAGAGAGATGGAGGGAGGAAATGTACATGAATAGGATTTATATTAATTTGCTTATATGGATATGATTCTGAATGATCGAGGGGTGTTAACAATGGCCAAGACTTCAGGTCTAACCAGAAGACGCAATTTGCATTAACTTGTTTTCTGGTCATTCAATTTAATAAGAAGCTTAATAATTGAAAGAGTTCCTTCCTCTTTGCAAGAATTGAGAGAATTGTGAAAACAATGGGCCATTACCCTCAGATTCTTACTGCTATCTTCAGAGGCTATTTTTTCCCTTGTGTAACTTCAGGTTGGTAACCTTTCCTTTGTATTTGAACAAAAAGGGGGAGTGGGCTACCTCACGATATTGTACTGTGTTTAGAGATGCTGCCTCCCCCATCCCAGTCCAAGGATTTTGAGACAAAAGACCCATTAGAAATGTACTGTGCCTCAGGCTTTCCTTCTCAGAACTGCTGGATCAATGGGCCTAGCGCTTCCAAACAAACAACAAGGCCCAACTATATGCAAGAACATTATATTGATTTATAAAAGATATAAAAAATTTACATGACACGAGATTCCATTTACAAATATGGTTCCATTTACCTCTGAAACAACAAAAGTACCGAGACAGGGAACAAATTACTGGTTGCCAGAGATAAGGAGTGGGGGGGGGGGAGTGGTGGGGGGTGGGGACGTAAGTGCGGCGCTAAAGGAACGGCAAGAGAGAGTGCTCTGGGTAAGGGAACCGTTCTGGATCTGGATTGCAGTGGCAGTTACATGAAAACACACATGGGCTAAAATGGGTTAGATCCCCACACCCACATCTTACAAACATCAGTTTCCTGGTTTTGCTATTGTACCATAGTTAAATATGATACAGCCGTTGGGGGAAACCGGGTGCGGGTACACAGGACCTCTCTGCACTATCTTTAAAACTTGCTGTTGGGGCGCCTGGGTGGCGCAGTCGGTTAAGCGTCCGACTTCAGCCAGGTCACGATCTCGCGCTCCGTTGAGTTCGAGCCCCGCGTCGGGCTCTGGGCTGATGGCTCGGAGCCTGGAGCCTGTTTCTGATTCTGTGTCTCCCTCTCTCTCTGCCCCTCCCCCGTTCATGCTCTGTCTCTCTCTGTCCCAAAAATAAATAAACGTTGAAAAAAAAAATTAAAAAAAAAAAACTTGCTGTTAATTGCAGATTATTTCAAAATACAAATCTTGAAAACACTGCATAATTTTACACATGGCATGAGCTCAACCACACAAACAACTGCATTTGGACAAAACAAAATCTAGTAAATGCATTCTTTATTATTTTTTACCCAAAAAAGTTAGACACAACCTTCCAGTGCATCATCGACATCGTGGAATTACAACTTCCACAGCATTGTTACCTAGTACCATTGGAATCTGTTTCCTTCTCTGGTTTATAAAATAAAAACCTAGCAAGAAAACGTTAAGTTATTAGTAAGTAACAAAGCTACAGGAAATGTTTACATTCTGGCTTGGCGAGCCATTCCTCTTTTTCATAAGCCAAACATTTGTCCTGATTTTAAAGCACGTCTTGATGCACAACTGCACTAACACAGAACGCGTGTCTTGTCGGGCACAGTTCATTTTCTATAGAAGCGGTAGCATAGAATTAGATAAAAAGTAGGTCAGTTTTACCCAGAAGATTATAACTCTATAGGGTCAAGAGAGATTTCGATCAGATTCATTTCTTACAAGGGAAAGTATAACAAGTACATCTTGGGGGATATGAAATTTCAGATCTGCCGAAAGAAGTAATTTTCTCCTTGTGCCACAAATAGTTCTTTTCTGGATCATATGACCCACAAGGATGTAATGTATTATAGCTGACAATGTGGCCTCAGCCTAGTTCTCAGACCAGTATCTTTTTTTTTTTTTAAGTTTATTCATTTATTTTGAGAGAGAGAGAGACAGAGACAGAGAGAGAGAGACAGAGAAAGGGAGGGAGGGACCTTGAACAGGGGAGGGGCAGATGAGACAGAGGGAGAGAGAGAATCCCAGGCAGGCCCCTTGCTGTCAGCACAGAGCCCCACATTGGGCTCAAACTCAAACCATGAGCTCATGACCTGAGCCGAAACCAAGAGTCAGATGCTTAACCAACTGAGCCACCTGGGCACCCCAGGCCAATATCTTAGTGGCCTTCACACTATTACTCTACTGCACTTTTTCTCTATCCGTATATTTTTTTCCTACTTTGAAGCTCAGCGTACTTAAAATCACAACCTTGTATATAAAAGTCAGCTTTTCTGGGGGCGCCTGGGTGGCTCAGTTGGTCAAGCGTCCGACTTTGGCTCAGGTCATGATCTCGTGGTCTGTGAGTTCGAGCCCCGCGTGGGGCTCTGTGCTAACAGCTCAGAGCCTGGGGCCTGCTTTGGATTCTGTGTCTCCTCCTCTCTCTCCCCTTCCCCTGCTCATGCTCTGTCTCTACCCCTATTTACTTAAGAATAAATAAACTTAAAAAAATTTGTTTAAACAGTTTTTCTGAAAACACTACTTTAAGTTTAGTACTCTATTTTCACATTGGTATTTGCAATGCACCGTGAAGCCAGCCACCTTGAAGAGACCCAAGCAGAAACTTGGCCCCAGTTCATATTCTAACTAAGTATCGATCAGTGTCATAGTTCAGAGCTCCACCCGTCTGAATACTAATTTTTTTCCATCCACATTCTCATTTCTCTGATCAGTGACATCTTCCAAACACAGATATTTCAGTAAAAGGTTGAGCCATAAATTTAGTCAGCTCTGTTTCAGTTATCTGTGCCTTCCAAATTTTCTTTGACACAAATTGCAAAAATTGCAGTGTTTAGAACACGCTGGGATCTTTTATTGCCTGGCTCTTATCACAAATGTCTGCCCCAAAACGTGCTTATGAAGGGCATTCCCAAGGAACAAATTAATGTTGCTCTAGTCCTCCCTAGATTTGGTACATCTGTTTTGCATTCCATCATAATTTAAAAATTTTAGGGTAGGCAATGTTCTGGTGCAGTCAAATTGCCAGGGGACTCCACAAAGCCCTGAATGCTGCCAGGCCGTTTGAAATAACATGTCAGTAAGTTTGGAAAGACCTACTTTTAAAATACAAATGGGGTGAAAGAGACTTCATTCGCTCTGAGTCCGGTCCAACAAATGAGGCAAAAGAGGACCATCAAAGACTCTGAAAGCAACAGAGCACTGAGGCACCTACAGCCGGACTCCCCCCAGAACTGCGGGTACTTGGATGGAAAGCCCTATATTTACCGCCCGCCCACTCTGTGCCAGGTAGTACGCTAGGAGCTCTGCGTACATCATCCATCAGCAGTCTAACGGGCAGATACCGTGAACTCCCTTTTACTAATGAGGAAACAGGCTCAGAGAAAAGTAACATCTAAGGTCTCAGATCTGGCACGCGGCAGAACTGGGATTAGGTCTGGATCTTACGGACTGCCTTTCTGCTCCTCCTCCTATCCTGGGGGTCAGCAAAGTAGGCCTGGGCGCCAAATCCCACCTACCCTCTCTTTTGGTAAATGAAGTTTCACCAAACTGCAGCTGGGCCGCCTCACTCGGGCACAGCGTGTGGCGGCTTCCGTGCCGCGGAGGAGCTGAGTAGTTGAAACTGGATATTTACTATCCGGCCTTTTGCAGAAAAAAACGTGCAGGCCCCTGCCCCTTACAACGCGACCTTCTCTTTTGAGGTCCTCCTCCGCTTACCTTGTCCTCATGCAGGAGTCCTAGACAAGGATGCAGCAGGTCCTAAGACAGTGGCTCTCGCACGCTCCCAGAGCCAACAGAGACAGCCTCGGGAGGGCCACTTCACATGGTTAAATCACCATCAGTGGGCAAGGGCCCGCACAGAGCCAACCCTTAATTCCCCCCGAGGCTGCTGCCCAGGGACCCCAGCCTCAGACGGCCACTCTCGGATGACCCGTCGTCAAGGCCGCCCGCACCGTAGAAGCACCCGGACGAAGGCAGGCCCGCAGCAATGCTGTCGCATCGGGCCTCCCTTTCTGCCAGACGCCGTGCCCAGAAAGTGTGCAGGTGCGGCCACCTGCCCCAGACGCCCAGGGCCGCGCCTGTGGATGGACAGTGGACTGGGACAGCCAAGGACCACACGTGAGCCTTATTTATGGGTCACTCACTTGTGTCGGTGGCCATTGCTGCTCGTGTGCAGGACCGTTTACATGTGAGTTTGGAGACCGGCCGTCCAGAGATTTATGGCACTTAGCACTTAGAAAGGAAGCTGTAAAGTGCCTGACAGAGCGGCTCTAAAAATTAAGACTTCTACTTCCTTAATCCACAGGCTGAAAATCCTTAAATCCTGCGGCCTGGCTGGGCTTTCCTCCTTCCGCACTGGACCCATTCACGTGTAACACTGGGAAAAAGGGACGAGAAGAATTTAACACAATCTTGTCTGTGAACCTTCCTCACTCTTAGTTCTTGAGATGAAGTAGAACATTCCAGTTTCATGGGAAGCTCATCAGAAGGACATCTGAGAAGGGACGGAGGTGCAGAGAAGAAGTCAGGCATCCTGACAGCAGCCCGCAGTCTCAACATGCTGAAGATACTCTTGGTAAAAGCCTTCTTTGTGTTCAGAGAGATCTGAGGCCACGTTCTGTCCTTGATATATACTGACTTGACTTATGTTCTAACTTAGGTCACGTATAAATTCTCTCCGTCTCGGTTTTTCAGCCCACAGCATTTAAGGATTTGGTAAAACAGAGAGCGCTGAGCTAAACCTACGACACGGTTCCCTTTCTTTCCCTTTGGCTCTCTCTTCCTCTAAACTGGCTTCGCCAAGGGTAAGACCGCAGGCCTTGGGACATCTGAAGTAACGAAGTATAAAATGGCGGGAGCGTGAGGCTCTGTTTATTTATGGACATCATTGGCGCTTCAGCTTCATTGACCATCGTCTAACCTGATTTTCTGCAACACAGAAGACACTGGCTTGGAGAACTGCTCCTTTCTGGGGTGGGAGGAAGTATTCTATTCTCTGCTGGGTTCTTTCTGCTCCGAGTCAGGCTCCCTCCAGACCTGTCCAGGGCACGGGCCAGAGTGCCTCCAAGGATGCAAGCGTGGAATCAGGTCAGTGTCGTCCACGTGTCAGTTTAGGCGGAAGAAACCCTCTCAGAGAAAGCAACCTGACAGGGTGCGTGGGTGGCCCAGCTGGTTAAGCATCAGATTCTTGCTTTTGGCTCAGGTCATGAGCTCACAGTTCACGGGTTCAAGCCCCATGTTGGGCTCCACAGCTGGCAACGTGGCACCTGCTTGGGATTGTCCCCCCCCCCGCCCCTCCCCTGCTGTGTC